ATGCTCTTTGTTGAGTATTAACCCCTACGTATTTACTTGAGTTCTGAGCAAACCAGTAAAGAAAAGTATTGCTTGGGTGTTTGTAGTGTAAGGCTTCATGCCGTGCTGAAACAGCATGGTCCGGATTCGCATCCAGACTGTGGTCGAATGTTTTGCCATAACGATCAGTGCTATTGCCCTTTAAGATTCAAACTACTATGTGCACTTACGCACCCGTGCGATAAAAGGGTTGCCTTGAAGGATCAGTGCAACTAGCTCCTACCGCACCTTTGTGCCTAGTACCATTTCCCTGTTCTGAATAAGAACATCCGATTACTACTCCATTACTGTGCAGAGTTTGGGTCAATGTTTGTTTTATTTCTTTCATTTTCCCATTCTTGTTCGTCTATCTATTTTTATTCTGTCGTCGCTTTCTTTCAGTCAGCTCGACGTCGTACCGTAATCCAAGCATCGACATCTGAACTACTACGTGGTCTCGGTCAATTCATCGCGCAGAACAGTCATATCGCCGCTTTTGAACCGGCTCATCTCGTCATGTGGCTGCGTACCGTCGACCGGGCACTTCTTCTACAGGTGAGTAACGAGGTCGAAAGCGAAATTATAACTAATAAGGGAAATCACCCATGGCAGTAGAGGAAACAAGAGAGCGTAGAGAAGGAGAACCGATGAGGTTTATATGTCAAAAACTGCCTTGAAGATGTCTTAGTCACTAACTCCCTCTTCCTCAGCCTTATAGAGTTTGTCGCGCGGATTTGCCGCAGAACGCACGCGATCTCGCTACCTACGCGACCAAATTGCGCGCTAGTTTAGAAGTCACGGTCTTTGTTCTCTATTGTCGTGCGCGACTAATTCTACGTTTTCCCAGTTTGAGCCCTCTGAAGTTCCTCTAGATTGTGAGTCAAACAGTTTTCAAATGTGATTTCCAGGGATGGCAGGACGTAGCGTTCATCAATCCGGCGAATCTAGTCTTCGTTTTTCTGATTATCAGGGAAGTAATTCCAGGTAAGCGAGCATTCAAAACTCTGAGACCCGTTTGCCAATCACAACCATTTCCAGATGAGGAGTCTATCCATACGGTAGACGATTTGCACGCCTGGGTACTGACATGCCTTTATATTAGCTACTCCTATATGGGCAATGAAATCTCGTACCCACTGAAGCCTTTCCTCATCGAACTCGTGAGTTTTTACAGTACCGATTATGCACGTAATCGATTGGTCGCGCGGACAGCACGCATCAAACTATAAGGACCGTGCGTTTGGCATATCATAGATATCGATTTTTTACGAAAGTTGTCGCGATCTGTCCGCCCTTTTTCAATTTGAAGGCACGGGTCGCGTTTGAATTGGTGTGTTATTTTATTTGAAAATTAGACAAGACTTTAGAGGGGGTGGGGTGGGAGAGGAAAAAACACCGTAGAAAACCCTGAAGTTTTTTTTTGGGGTAGACTGTGGTACGATGGAGCGCTATGAAGAGAGGAAAAATGCGAGAGGGCATGTCGTACGCCAGATGGCGCTGAGTCCTCATGTACTCGATTGATAAGAATGGCAGCGGTTGCAGCGGTCAAGCGAAGGCATTAGCTTTCTTTTCGCGCACTTTCAGGGTACAACTGTACCACCACTGTTGTGATCTGGGATCCTGCTACCTCACCTATCTAGAGTATTTCTTCAGAAATCTAACGCGACCAGTG